ACCTTTCCGATTGACGAGTGAAGGGCAAACTGATGAAGGCCTTGATTTAAACGTTCCAGTTTGTGACTATAGATCTCTGCATTGACAGTTCGCTTTGGATTGAGGAGTTCGAAATGAATTACTCCTTTGATGTCCCACCAAATGTAAAGCATCACTTTCTCAGATGGGGTCTAGGTTTGGGGTCGGAAGTGGTTTTTGTCTAGGACTTAGCCTATTTGTTTTTGGCGTTTAATATTCTCGTAGAGAATCCATTTTTCATCACCGGTGACAATTCTGTCCAAAAATGGATTACGCGCCAGAAGAGACGAAGCAACGTTCACACGTTGGAAACGATGATCATCGGAAAGTTCGTGAGGCACCCAAACACCATCTTTATTCCGTAGATGTTTACATATTGTTTCATGAGAGACATGCAATTTCAGAGCCATTTCACGAGTGTGTTGCCTTGGGTTAGTCTCAACAAGCGTCTTCAGAGCATCAATATCAATTCCAACATGTCGGCCCCTGCCATCACAGTTTTTAAGGCTAAAGTCACCCGAACGAAATTTGCTGAACCATCGTTCAAAACATTTCCATAAACTTCTTTGATATTCTTTGTGGCTACAGAGTCGTTGTTTCCCTTCTTGTATTCAAACAACATTACATGCTGAATGTGTGTCTCGTCGTGTGCCATCACTATAAGTGATTAGAGTACACTTAAACTTTACACATTATATAGGCTACACTAACCTGACATTTAAGCAGTTCGTTTAACTATTATACGTGATGTACGTTCTTTTTTTTTGGGGGGGGGGGTAATGAAAGTGTTCCAAAACGCGACATTAATTTCTTGACGACCTAATACTTGGAAATGTTTCAAAATTAAAGTAGCCATAAGAATCCTTAGTAATTCGATTATATTTAACTATATCATTTTTGTTTCAGTAAATTAAACGCAGTAACATGGTCGATTCTTCGTCGTTTTACAGGTTACCATATACCGACCACTGTAGCTCCTTTCTTCGTCACGTGGCTAGGCAGTTTTTTCGATAGATCCACGAGTATGATTATTCCGCGAATTGGAAGAGAATGCTCTTACGACAATAAAAGGGTAAGAAGAGAAAAACATTTGTTTTTTATTATGGAATTGTGGTAAAGTATGACAGATCTCTGGCGTTTGTAAAATAGAAATAAAATCTTGGTAATAGCTATGATCTCAGTCAGTCTGTTTTAGATCAAAGCCACATTGAGCTATCTGCCGTGTTCCCCGCAGGGAATCGAACCCCGGATTTTAGCGTTACACTTACCGTTCTTCTACCGGGGGACTGATCTCAGTCACAAAAAATGTAAGGGCAATCAATTTCAAGTAATTCTATCTTTAGTGACTAAATATTTTAACGAAAATTTAATGTATCTTCATTTGTCTTTTCTTGAAACAACCACAACGTCCGCTTTCTGTGCTTTTTTCATTTTATAGGATAACATCCAACAATTTTTTTATGTTTGTATGTAGACATATAAAGTGTTAGGAGGTTAAACAAACACTTTTTTATCTTTTATCCTCGTCATAGTAAGTTGTAATAAGCTGCTAAAATAATTATAAAACCAACAGAGAATTAACAGAATACATGCTTAATCAATATAATGAAATATTTTTTTTCTAAACGTGTAGGCTTAACATCCTCAGTGGATTCTGAAAGGTGGCGTTATCTCGGGAATAATACCTCAGTATTTTGCTTATACTATATCACCGAAATCTAATCTATTAACTACACAATGTGAACTAATGTATGACCAATGAGGTCTGGCATGGCCAGGTGGTTAGGGAGCTTGACTTTTAATCTAAGAGTCACGGGTTCGAATCTCTTTCAGTCGTGGGGGAGTTATAATGTGACGGTCAATCACACTATTCGTTGGTAAAGAGTAGCCCAAGAGTTGGAATTCTAAGCACAAGTTAGGGGATATAACTGGATACGGACTGGATATAACTGAATACGAACTGGATATAACTGAATACGAACTGGATGAAACTGAATACGAACTGGAAAGTTGTAATTATTTTATAATCGCGGAATATATTATTCCATTATTGTTTTTCTCGGGAAATTCCTCAATTCTAAAGAAATACGTTCTTTAGACCTATTAGAATCACGTGAGTAATTAATTTGTATTTCAGATTTCTCTTTCTTACAAGTTAATAAGACATTGGTCCAATTTGTTTGTTTTGAATTTCGCGCAAAGCTACACGAGGGCTATCTGCGTTAGCCGTCTCTAATTTAGCAGTGAAAGACTAGAGGGAAGGCAGCTAGTCATCACCAAATCGTTGAAACAAATTCAAAAGTTTTTAATCCTGACTTTTCAGATGAGAGAAATATTAGGTGTCACACCTCGTGACCTCTCCCAGACAGTCTTGGACACTGCCTACAGTTTGATTGAAAAAGGATACATACAAAAGTCCAAAAGACATCGACTTGAAACGGAACTAGTATCATCCAAAGAAGACGAAATTGAAAATAATCAATGTAGGTTTTAACTAACGTGTTATTTCTAAAAGTTCGTGAGTTCATTACAATCGTTCTTCATAAATATTATAATTTAAGTTTAACTATTAGCAGTTGCTTATTCATAGTTTACAAAATAAACTTAAGTGAATTCTCTTGAACCTAGACCTTAGTCTTTTGATAAGCAGACTGTTTTATTTACCACATTTGATGGTGGGTGTACTGTTTATGTGTGAGAATAGTATAACTCGAATTTTCATCTGATTTTGTTGATATTCGGCACGAAGATTGAGTTTCTTCCAAAGAACAAATGGTGAACAGTTCAATATACTCTATAACCAATGCTGTGCGCAGATTTCATAAAATAAGTAAGAATTTCAACGTTTAAAAATATACAATAATTTAGTGTATAAACTTCAAAGTAAAATATACAATTAAAACTCTACATGTTTCGATAGAAAAAATTCCACCATCTTTAGGAGACCAGAAGAAACACGGGGAATTTCATTTTTATACAAGCATTTGTACAGTGCCCTCTACAGAATAGATTTACAAAATTCACTTCTGTGGCACCCGGACCTAAATCTCTGTTCAAAATGATTTTATGTTGAACAATTTGTTTAAAAATTCTCTTATGTTTAATTCATTTTAGTTTAACTGTGAAACTTATCCCATTCAATGTTATGAGAAGAATTCGCCACATATTCCTCCAAGGCCTAATCACTAGTTTTTAATTTTTCTACTGCATTTTTGTGTTCATTAATTCTAAACTTCAACTTTCTACTTGTTCGTCCAATACAATTCAAAGTCACAACTGCAAGAGATTTTATATATTCCACATATATCCTTTAATTCAAGTTTGTCTTTAATACCATTATTGATATTTAATTGTTTTAATTTAGGAGTAAAGGCTGATGTGTGTATGTGTGTGTTTTTCTTATAGCAAAGCCACATCAGCCTATCTGCTGTGTCCACTGAGAGGAATCGAACCCATGATTTTAGCAGTATAAATCCGAAGATTTACCGCTGTCCTAGCGGGGGACTTTAAAGGCTAATAGACAAGTCGTACTTTTTATGAACACCTTACCTATTTTTGTTGACCGTGACGGAATATATGGAAAACATATTCTTTATTAACCTTACTTATTATCTGTAGTTTGGTGTATTCTGAAATTTGTAATTTATTACAGTGTTTTTTTTATAAATCATATTTATAATATACGGTTCATAACCTCTATCGACAGCTATATATATATTTTAAATAATTCAGTTCAAGCATAATATCTTCATTATATGAAGATACCTTAACGGCCCTATGAACAAATGATGAAAAAAGAAGACATTTTTTGGGACAATGGATGACACGATCATGCGTGCGGCGGCATGGCAACTGAGAACGGTTTCCTGTAAACCGAAATAGACAGAAACGCTTCTTTCTTATTACCGAAACATAAAAAAAAAATGTTAACAGCCCCTTTTATCTACTTCTAAAGTGAATTATATTGTGGGGCTAATAGAATTAAGATGTACCAGGAAATCAATTAACGTGTTTCTGCCATGCCGCCACACCAGAAACGTGTCACCCACATATCTTACACACAATTCTGTTCGTAAATTACATCACCCACCTTAAAATCACTATAACTTACACATAATTTTGTCAAATTTAAAATGTCATCTACTTCAACTGCTTCTGTAAAAATGAAATTTCCTGTGTTTCTTCTGGTCTCCTGAAAATGGTGTTATTTTTTTTTCCACCGAAATATGTAGAATTTGAATTGTATATTTTACTTTTAATTCTATACAATAAATACAATAAATCGTTGTGTATTTTTAAACGTTCAAGTTCTTATTTATTTTATGGTCAACTTTTGTTGAATGTAAGTCAAAATAAGTCAACCACTTTCGTTATAATGGTATTAAATTGGAATTTTGGTAAACAGCCAAAACTTGACAACAAAATGAGATAGAAAGAGATATGTATAGCCTAGACCTAAATTTTTTGATGTTGAGGAAAATTCTGGTATGTATTTGGAGTTGATTATTTTGGGGTGGAGCAGCACCTTTGTCATTTTGAGAATGTGTTCATCACTGGGCTTAGCTAGGATCTAAAAAGCATGGCAGTGTAGGACTACGTCACACTCATCTAAATCATGTTTCGTTCCCTTAAGTTAATTAGTGCTATAATAACTGCATGTTCGTTACGTTGCAGAGAAGTCTACAAAACGCTAAGAGACCACAGCAAATCTCGTTCAAATAGTTTGATGTTCTCTGTTTAAAATTCAATAAAGACACGTTTGGCATTGGTTCAAACATCAACTTTAACATCTAAAAAATAGCTGGACAGAAGTTTTAATTTAACAATGAACTGAAGAAGTGTCACTATATCTGAGCAAGTTATAAAAAATAAAAGTCCATACAATTGTATCAGCGCCCGGCATGGCCTGGTGGATAAGGCGCTCGACTCGCAATCTGAGGGTCGCGGGTTCGAATCCCAGTCCCACCAAACATGCTCGTCCTTTCCAAGAGGGAAGGCTGTCAAGTGGGTTGCATCCTTGACGAAAGAAACAGCTTTAGAAACGAGAAACATCGGCTCAACGGTCCGCAAGGACTATGGGAAACAACAACAAAAAAAAACAGTTGTATCAAGTAAACTTGACAGGCATGCGATCGAACGGGATTTTAAAATGATTCCGCTCTATTCAGCCATCTTTCTCATGAGAACAGTCATGATTCTGAGATGTGGCTCTAAGTATTTATATGTTGGTTTGTGAGTATTTATTAAATTCAAGTTCTATTTTATTATTTTTTTGGATAGTACCAGCTTCACCCCAATGGCTTGTTGGGTCGGAAGGTTCTATTTCGTAGCAATAGTCATGATTTTGCGGATAAGGATGCTGCTTTTGATTGACTTGAGGCGTGGTTTCGTAGCTAATTTCTGCCCTAAACTTTACAATGTATGAGATTTTCTGCTTTCATAGAGAACCTTGAAAACTTTTGGTTGTACATAGCTTAAAAATCTTAAAGACATTACTATTTGGGGGGGGACGCATTATTTTGGCCATAAGTAAACCCATAGAAACATTTCTTTGTCGAATGATGATGTATAAGCCATAAAACATAGATACTAAACATATCATAAGTAGTACCACGACTAACTTCTGCGCCGATACACCATTGGATTAGCATATGCAAAAGTGTGATAAACTCACTGTGTACAGATACATATTCATTAAGTCTAACACGAGTATTTAGGTGTGTTATAACTCTTAAAAATGTAATGATCAGGTAACTTTTCTGTATGTAGAAACTATCAAAGCTCATTGTGAAGTTTCGAGAATATCAGTTGACTGTTTTGTTTTTTGTAAAATGTATACGATAAACGTTTTTGATTTTATATTTTATTCTAGAACAAGAAAACGTAAAAAAGACAGCAAAGGAAAAGAAAAACAGGCGGAAAAAGTGACTAAAAACTGTTACCATTCCTAGCAAAGGAAATGAAGTTCTGAAGTGACAAAATGTAAAGTCGAGAATGGTTTTCTAACGAGTGCTATTCTTACATTGAAAACCCAAACAGTCAGTTCTTCATGTGAGTCTCAAATAATATATTTTGTATGACATAAATGCTAATCTTCTGTAAAAAGCATTGACATCTACACATTTCTAATGAAAACCTTGTTAAATAAAATACAAGTTTCTATTTGAAATTTATTTTCTATCCAACAATCAGCCTTAAATGAATATTTCAAATTGCTTTTGTCACTCTGCTGTGCTGTTATAATGCAAAATCCTGCATTTCAACATTTTTATAGGTCCAAATAGGTGTTTATATACTTTGAAAATATTGTAAATTTACTGCTTTAAAAGAAATAAATAGATTTTCTTTGTTTGTAAATGATGAGGCTAGTACGGTTTTAGAGAAATAGCGTTAGATATTAAATTGTCACTTCCCGAGTAGTCACATTTAATAATGAAGATAAAAATCGCAAGATATGTGAAGAAATTCATGTAGATACATTCTTCCATTCAGCAAGTTTAAAAATAAAGTCATGGTCTGAAAACATGTGTGTGTTCGATTATTCATCTTCAGGTTGGAAAAGTAACTCAACCTTGTTAAAGTTCTTACATTTACTGGCGAGAAAAACACTGTTTACTAAGTCATTGTTATGTTACAGATGTTAAAAAGACATACGATTTAACCCTATTTTGTAGGTAATTTCAACAATTTGATAATAAGTAACATCGTTAGGGTTATCTAAATCTAAAATACATTATAAAAAACAAAGGTGATATCTATGGGCTGTTTTAAGAATAATAGTCATTCAATTGTTTGTTTGTTTGTTATGAATTTTCACGCAAAGATACACGAGGACTATCTGCGCTAGCCGTCCCAAATTTAGCAGTGTAAGACTAGTCATCACCACCCACCGCCAACTCTTGGGCTACTCTTTTACCAACGAATAGTGGGATTGACCGTCACATTATAACGCCCCCACGGCTAAAAGGGCGAGCATATTTGGTGTGACGGGGATTCGAACCCACGACTCTCAGATTGCGAGTTGAGTGCCTTAACCACCTGGCCATGCCGGGCCTTCAATGATAATAATAATTGGCTTAACTGCTTTCAACCTAGACTGAATATTATTTGTTGGCCTATAAATATATATATATATATATATATATATATGTGTGTGTGTGTGTGTGTGTGTGTGTGTGTGTGTGTGTGTGTGTGTACTATACGTACGTAAGTAACGTACGTAACGTACTACCTACGACGGACAAACTAAATAGTACGTTAATTTTAA